CTTTTTTTCCTTTAAGAACACAAACTTAAAACCACTGACAATGAGGAACTTCTTCGAGACATCCAAAAAAGCAAAGCAATGCTGAAGGATTTACAAAGCTTTCTCCAAGAGTTAGAAGAAAAAATTACGAAAAAACAGTCGAGATACGTGTTCATAAACGAAGCGTTTGTAAAGCGTTAACAAATTACAAACAGAAATCCACCGTCGACAACGCGTCACTAGTTCAAAGAACGTCAGGAAGATGSAGGCCATTTCCACCCGACAATGTAAAGCAAGAAAAAGAGAATTTGAAAAAGAGAAAGAAAGGGAAAAACGAAAGAAAGAAAAAAAGATAAGCATAGTCGGGCTGTCTTCAACTTTTTACGCAAAGAAACCCCTCTAAAAATATTTTTCTCCATGACTTTGCTATAATAATATGGAATGTACGATAACTTAGTTACTAAATTGTAAAAATCTGCTACACTGTGTAAATATTAGTGATTAGCAATAAAATATGAAGTCACATTTCAAAACGAGCAAAATATGTCGAGTTTGTATTGATTAAGAAGAAACAGGAGGGAGAAAAAGGCGGAAAAGTGGTTATGTTCATAAAGTATTTGGATTCAACGCAGGTATTATACTAACTTTGATTCAGCAAGGCGGCGACTAAAAAACYTTCAATTGCTTTAATTTATTTATTTGTATTTAAAATACAATTTTATTTATAAAAAAGGCACAGGTTTTCCAGGCTTCACTAGAGATAAACTGACTAAATTGAAGCCTAAAAAGCCTGAACTGTAGTTCGTAGTTGAATAAACCTCTTCCAGTATTTGTCATTTGAAGGGTGACATGTATTACATACAAAATGCTCACTATGACGTCATATGACTTCAATATGACGTCATAATAATCCATTGTTTTAAACGAAAAAAATCAGATAGAAACGAGGAAACTAACTTTCTTAATTGATTAAGTTTTAAAAGTCTGAATGAGTCTTCTTCACACATTATAAATGGTCACAATTCTCTTTTYTTTAACTCTTCCTAAATTATTTTTGTTTTGAAAGGAGGGTCATAAACACCCTTTGACCCCCCTWTGARCACACCCCCTTTGCTTATTCATGTAACTCCAAAGCACCTTCATCTGGGGAACAAAACAAAAGCTTTTTT